ACAATATTATATTGGCACAGAACAGAAGCATATTCCAACAATCCGATTTGAGACAATGATTTGTTTTCTCATATATAGGGTGTCCCACGGTGGATGGCGTATTAGACGTTTATAGAGAACTAAAAAGCGGATCATTTTGAAAATTTGGCAACTGGGATAAACGACCATGATCTACACTTTAAAAATATTTTTGACCATGCGGTGTTGCCGCTTCTACTCTAAACTAGTGGCAACATCACTACTTTAAATGGAACACCCCGTATTAAATTGCATATTTGGATTCTACGTAAAATTCTAAGCAGATTTCATGTGATATACCCTATACCTAAGTTCAACTGTTTTGAAAATATTGACAGTTGAAAATTGACTTTTTGCAACTTTGACAGGCTGTAGAACATGAACGGTTAATTTTAGAGGAAAACCGATTTTACATTCCTATCTTAGATTTTTATAAACTCATTTGACACTTGGATAGAATTGCAGGGTTAGTAATTCTTATTATATTGTTGTGTGCAATTTTTGGTAAGTAAGAATTCTATCGCTTAATTTTTGACTCTGAATCCCTACCTTTAGGTCAGCTAATTAATTTGATGTGTAGCACATTTCTTTCACGTTCTGACTGTTTTGAAGAAAGGGTCCCTTGAAGAATTTAATTTTTTCTTCGCCCTAAAGAGGGATTTTGGACCTAATTTTCTGAATTTATGGCACACTGAGTTTTCTTGTTTAATTTTCGTAAAGTGCTATAATTTTCGCCAATGTTATCGGATTTGAAAACAACCATTTCGATAAGTTTGCTGTGCACGTTTTTTTTTTTTTTTCCACAAGTAGATTCTGACTTATTCCATTTAATCATTAGTGAAAAGCTGCCCTAAAGAGTAGAGTAACATCTCACATCGAATTCAGACCTCGATTCAGTCTTCCAGAGTATTAGGCCAGTCATTTAAGCTAAATTCTGCAAAAAAATTGCGAAGTTAAATTTTATTTGATGAAAATGTCGAAAAAGCTTTAAAAAGGAATTATTTGAATTTTGCACACAAAGTTTCGGCCAGGAATATTATTAAATAAATTAAAAATAGTTTTTTTGCACTAACTCCGCGGAAAAAATTGCGAAATTTGTGCAAATCATGAGAAACCATTCTAGAATTGTTTATAAAAGTTCTATCAAGTTTGCACACGAATGTGGTGACGGGAACATTATAAACAATTGTTTATAAACTTCAAAGTGGAATAAAGTATATAACAAAAATTGCGAAATTTGTGCAAATAGTTGTTTATATGCCTTGATATGATCCCATATTTGTTTGCCATTTTGCACACATTATTTTTGACTGGAACATTTTGTTTTATATATTTTTTACCAATCGTCTCCAATTTTGGCCGAAATTGAGACAATTTTTATGAAAAATAATTACGAAAGTTGTATAATGTGTGTGCAAATGTTTGGAATACGGATACATATCCTAATCTGAATTTGCACACTCCAAAGCGACCGGGAACTTGTTTAAATCAGGGATTGTTTAAATAATAAAAATTATAACATGCGAAAAAATTCCGAAATTAATGCAAATTTGAATTATTGCTAGAACGAATCATTCAGATACTTCTTTTCATTTGCACACTCCAAAGCGACCGGGAACTTGTTGAAATCAGGGATTGTTTAAATAATAAAAATTATAATATGCGAAAAAATTCCGAAATTATTGCAAATTTAAAATATTGTTAGAACAAGTCATGCAGACACTTGCTTACATTTGCACACTCTAAAGTGACCAGGAACTTGTTGGAATTAGGGATTGTTTAAATAATAAAAATTATAACATGCGAAAAAATTCCGAAATTAATGCAAATTTGAATTATTGCTAGAACGAATCATTCAGATACTTCTTTTCATTTGCACACTCCAAAGTGACCAGGAACTTGTTTGAAATCAGGGATTGTTTAAATAATAAAAATTATAACATGCGAAAAAACTCCGAAATTAATGCAAATTTGAATTATTGTTAGAGCGAGTCATTCAGACACTTCCTCTCATTTGCACACTCCAAAATAACCAGGAACTTGTTGAAATTGGGGTCGTTTAAATAATAGAAATTGTGACATGCCAAAAAATTCCGAAATTGTAGCAGATTTAAAATATTGTTAGAATGAGTCATTCAGAGACTTCCTTTCATTTGTACACACCAAAGTAACCAGAAACTTGTTGAAATCAGGGATTGTTCAAATAATAAAAATTATGGCATGCGAAAAAATTCCGAAATTAATGAAAATTTGTATTATTGTAAGAACGAGTCATTCAGATACTCTCTCACATTTGCACACTCTAAAATGACCAGGTACTTATTGAAATTAGGGATTGTTTATAAAATAAAAATTATATCATGCAAAAAAAATCCGTAATTTTTGCAACTTTGAATTATATTTAGAAGGAGTCATTCAGTCAGTTTCTTACATTTGCAAACTCCAAAGTGACCAGGAACTTTTTGAAATAATAGGAACGACCCACTGAGCAATGGACTCAGTCCCGTGCCAATCTTTGACGCGTTTCATCCTTGCTAGGACTCATCAGAAGGACAAAGGCTGAAGTTCCGTGTTCAAGCAAAATTGAACTTTGTTGACCAGTCAAAAACAACTACTCCGAGGGCAAATACCTCTACCGGCGTTGAACTACACTGATTGGTCTGAGCTTTCGTTGGCAATGAAAATTGTTAGAAAGATTTTTTTTCTCCCCTCGGAGTAGTTGTTTCTGACTGGTCAACAAAGTTCAATTTTGCTTGCACACGGAGTTTCAGCCTTTGTCTTTCTGATGAGTCTTAACAAGGACGAAACGCTTCAAGGATTGGCACGAGAAGCCTGAGTCCACTGCTCAGTGGGTTGATTCCCAAACAGGGACCGTTGTGTCCCTATATTCACGTTGGTCATTACCTGAAAAAATCTTTCTTACAATTTTCATTGCCAACGAAAGCTCAGACCAATCAGAGTAGTTCAACGCCGGTAGGGGTATTTGCCCTTGGAGTAGTTGTTTCTGACTGGTCAACTAAGTTCAGTCTCCTGTAAATTTATTTGGCTATCAGTTGCTGTGACTCTTTGAGGTCCAGAACCTGTAACGTTTCCCTATTTCCCTGTCTGTCCCGGTATTTCGGGTTTCTCGGGCGCCACCCCTCTGTGATTTACAGCGTCAAAGGGGACCGCTGATATGCCTGTCGGGTAGCCTTTAAACAGTGAAGAAGACGGTGATCCAAGGTTCAGTGCAAATAATATAACTTGTTTAACAAAATTAGTTCAATATATTCCTACCCACTATGAAACACAAGCAAAATACATTGTGACGGGAAGGATAATAGTCACCCTATTTACGCCGGTTTTGAAAACAATATTTTTCCACGCTAACGGCATTTAGCACAGTAACACTATTTATCACGCTAACGCAACTTGTCACGGTAACGTTATTTATTACGGCACGCTATTTACTTCGGTGTCGGTATTTATTATGTTCACGGTATGGGCGGATTTAGCTCCAGCTCCAGAATCCGAATGTCGAGAAATTTACAATAAACAGTCTAATGAGTAAACTCAGTTCGGTAATTTTCGGTAAAGAGGGATTGCAGCAGGATATTTTCCGGCGTGAATTCAAATGGACTGGTCAGAATCGTTACAGGACGGAATTATCGGGATTACTCCACAATTAAGGAATCGGGATTTCTCCACAATAAAGGAATCGGGATTTCTCCACAATAAGGAAGTCGGTACGGTAGTCGGTTAAAAATCGGGATTACTCCACAATTAGGGAATCGGGATTTCTCCACAATAAGGAAGTCGGTTACGGTAGTCGGTTAAAAATCGGGATTACTCCACAATTAGGGAATCGGGATTTCTCCACAATAAGGAAGTCGGTTCAAAATCGGGATTACTCCACAATTTGGGAATCGGGATTTCTCCACAATAAGGAAGTCGGTTACGGTAGTCGGTTAAAAATCGGGAGTACTCCACAATTAGGGAATCGGGATTTCTCCACAATGAGGAAATTGGATGCGGTAGCGGATAACGGAAAACTGATATTACTGAGTTTTACTTACCAAAATACTTCGATCACTACACACTGGAGCTCGTAACTAGGCTGCTGGCGGTGGCTGCTGTTGCCCGGACTCGAATGAATTTACCTGGTACCGCGTCGTACCCAGCTAGGTTCGAAAGCCTTGGTTCGGCTTTATGGTCTGGCAGGGGATCGGTCGCGATCGGAGACAAGCGCCGTACTCTCGGTACCATGTAATTTTTGCGCGTTTATTTCGCCTGGGAAAATTCGTAGCAATTTCCCGATGTTTTCGCGATAGTTGCGGAGAATTTTCACTGTGTAAATAGGATGACGTGATTTTTATATTTCTAAAATAAAAAAGAACGGAGTGATTGGTTGAAAAATAAGAAAGTTACCCTGACGGATTTAGAAAAATTATGCAACTTCATTACACTCCCCCTTCTTTGACAAAAAAAAATGTTTTTCTACCCTAACATTTTTTTTTTTAATTTATAATTACAAAACAAACAAAAAAATAACAAAAAGAAGTATAATACATTCTATCGAAATAATGAAATAATAAATAAATAAAAAAAAATCTTCTCGGCTGTCTCGGTCCCATATTCCCTCTTCTATTTTAAAGCCCGGATTGACCGCCGGTCCGGTATTATGCTGAAAGAAATGAACGGCTCACGGTCGGTTTTATAAATTCGGTTAAAAAAAATTTAGTTGCGGTTTATCGGACGCATGCCACAGGAACACCCACATAGTGGACAGGCGTGGAATCCCTCTCGTCGGCGTCGGCAAGATCCTTGGGGTTTGGAAAATGTTTTCGGAATTCGCTTATTCTTGTTGAATTGTGGCAGAATGACTGGAGGGTATATGATTAGGCAAATACATTTGGACGACATGACCCCCACTTTTCCGCAGCCTGAGCAAAACAAGATGGGCTTTCCAGTGCATGATCCCCTTTTATGCCCTGGTCGCCCACATCGCCAGCATAGACCTTGCGATACGGGCAGGAAATGCGGCATGGTGGTGGGGTTACTGTTAATGATGTCCGACTCGGTCCATTCATAAGGTGTATTATTCTCCATTCCCATGGATCTTGGAAATGACTCAGCTTTGGTCAAGTCGTCAACAGGGATATTCAACCGTTGGATATCTTCGGTGGGGTTTTCTGGAGAGCCAGTTTCCGGAATTTTGGTGAGGCCGTTCTGAGGGACAGGCTGAGTTTCAATGGAGTCTTCACGAAGCAGAATTGTCTCAGCCCCAGATGCCTTTGTCTCGGTCGTATCATTTATGGCAGCCGCTAATTCATCCATTAATTCCTCGGTGGAGAGCAACTGCAGAGTTGGAGAGTCCATTTCTGTAAGTTATTCATCATCAGAATTAGGTTAAGCTTACCCTGGGATTTGGGGTGCGGGAATAAATGCTAATTGTTAACATTCAACAAATATATTTACAATTATACAAAAAAAATAAAGAAGAACAATATCACAGAAAATCAGACTTATACGGAAAATAATATCACCCAAAAAAAAAAACAAAAAAAAATTCTTTCTCCCCTCCCAAATTAACACAAAACTTCATTAAAACTAAACGGTGACGTGGACCTTCTGTCCACCGGACGTGAGAAGGCGGACCCGGAACTTGCCCACATGGGTTGCGGGTCGCAGCTTTTTAAGCTCCTGCCTGAACTTTTCCGTCCACAACTTCTTGTTTCTCTGCTGGAAAACGGTGTCGGCAATGTGAGTTTTCCAGAGAGGTTGGTTTACTGACTCGGCGGTAGGTGGGGTTTCAGGAATAGGAATTAATGTAGGATCAGGTACTTTTGTAGGAATTGGGTGTAAAGTGAAAGGAATTCTTATCATAAGGGACGGTTTTTTTTTTCTTGCGGGTACGGTTTCGTTGTAGGATGGGGTGAATGTGAGTTCGGTTTCGGAGGGTGATGAGGTGAATGCGGGTTCGGTTTCGGGGGGTGGTGCGGTGAATGCGGGTTCGGTTTCGGGGGGTGGTGCGGTGAATGTGGGTTCGGTTTCGGGGGGTGGTGAGGTGAATATAGGCGAGATTGGATTGGCAGCGGAAAGGAGTGGTTTGTGATGGCTGGGTTTCTGTATAGGATCCTTGGAGAACTGCAGCTTCTTACTGCGAACCCAGTTCTTGATGGCCTGCATCCTCATCATCTGCTGTCGTCGCAAATATACATTGTCCATTTTTGGACACCGTACTTCACCTACGGGAGCTCCACGGGGCGGTTCCCCGTTAGCACGACCGGAATTATTTTTCGGCATAGTTTGCTTTTCTGTAACAAAAAGTTTTAATGTGATGGCTTTAAATCTTTAACGTGTACGCGTCGGATTAATTTCCCGCTGGAGCTTTTCAAGTCATACACGACGGGTGAGATAACTTTAAAAACCGTATATGGCCCGGAATACTTTGGTGCAAGCTTCGCGGCGAAGTTTTTGATTGCGGAAGAAAGATGATGTTCGCGTTTCATGACCCGATCGCCAACTTGACACCTCCAATCTCTACGTCGGAGATTGTAATGATGGCTTTGGGTGGTAAAAGCACGGGCCAAATTGACGCGCACCAACTCATAAACTTCTTGGAGTCGTTTTAAACGTTCGGTGGTCGGTATAGGGTCGGGATTGGTATTGTCATCGGGAGCGGAGTTTGGGATATCCTTGCGAAATAGTGACTTCGGTGGTTCTAATTCCCTTCCAAAATTCAAAAATGCTGGAGTGAAACCGGTACTGGCATTGCGAGACGTGTTATAGGCAAATAAAAGGTCAGGAAGGAAGGCATCCCACTTCTTGTGGTTGTCCTGACAATACTGGGCAATCATTGTCTTGATTGTTTTGTTTGCTCTTTCTACCGGGTTTGCCTGTGGCGTGTACGGCGGTGTCAAACGGTGCTGAATGCCATAATCATCCAGTAGTTCTTTAAACGTTCGTCCAGTAAATTGGGTTCCGTTGTCAGTTATTATTGTGTTTGTTCTCCCAAACCTAGATAGAATAAGCTCATGCAATGCTTGGCTTACAGCTCGACCAGTAGCATTTCTAAGGGCTCGACATTCTACCCACTTGGTAAAACGGTCTTGAAAAACCACTAGGAAGCAGTTTCCTTTGGAGGAACGGGGCAATGGTCCAACAAGGTCGGCACTTATGGTCTCCCATGGGGAGTTATTTTTAGACGGTCGCATCTTTCCGGGTGTTTGTTGTTGAGAGGACTTGAATTCCTGACAGCATTTGCAGTTTCTGACATATTGGGCCACATCGCGAAACATTCCAGGCCAGTAGTATCGAAGGGCCATCCGAGCGGTGGTCCTCGCGATTCCCATGTGGCCTGCGGTCGGAAGGTCGTGGTTCTCCTTTAGTACGGTTTCTCTAGCGGGCCTTGGTACGCAAAACTTCCAAGGATCTGTCATGTCTGGTTCAGTTAGATCCGAAGAATCCCAGAAATGTCGAAACAACTTTCCATCTCGAACACAGTAGTCTGGAAACGCGGCGGGATTTTTCTCTACTTCTTCCTTCTTCTTTCGGTACCAAGGGCAATCTTCCTCTATTTCCAGCGCGATGAGAGGATCGCCATCCTCTTCCATATCGGCTAACATGGGTTGACGGGATAATGCGTCGGCTACTCGATTCAGCACGCCTTTGCGGTACTTAATTTCGAAATCGTATTGCTGAAGAAACACGCTCCACCGAGCAAGACGTCCACTAGGACTTTTCAGAGAGTGTAGCCATCGGAGAGATTGATGATCAGTGAGGACCGTGAACCTGTAACCTTCGAGATATGGACGCATCTTCTCGACTCCCCATACTATTGCTAAACATTCTTTCTCAGTGACGGAATACTTCTTCTCAGCTGACGATAGGCTTCTGCTTGCAAAGGCTATGACATCGTCACCATCATGATTATGTTGTATCAATGCTACTCCCAAGCCTAAGTCACTTGCATCGGTTTGCAGAATGAACGGCTTTTGAAAATCTGGACAAGCCAGAATTGGCGCATTGGTTAACCTTGTCTTTAAATGTTGAAATGCTTCATCTTGTTCACTCGTCCAAGTCCAACGAGTGGCTTTCTTCAGAAGTCGATTTAACGGAGCCGCGATCTGTGCAAATCCGGGAACAAACCTACGGTACCAGGATGCTATTCCTAAGAATCTGCGAAGACCACGGACATTTACGGGAGGCGGTAATTCCAATATAGCAGCTACCTTGTCGGGATCGGTGTGAATTCCGGTTGCGGTAACCATATGACCTAAATACTTCAAATAACGGCGGCCAAATTGACATTTTTCTGGGTTGATTTTCAGATTTGCATTTCGGAGACGGCCAAATACTTCCTGTAGATGGCTTAGGTGCTCTTCGAAAGTTTCCCCCAGAATAATGATATCGTCTAAATAAGCGAAACAGTTGGGCTCCAACTCGGGGCCAATTATTCTATCCATAAGCCTCTGGAAAGTAGCCGGAGCGGAATGGAGACCAAACGGCATGACCTTAAAATGAAAAAGGCCTCGGGATGGCACGGTAAACCCTGTAATTGGTCTGCTCTCAGGGGCAACTGGTATCTGCCAATATCCCTGCTTCAAATCAATGCTAGAGATATATCTGGCTCTTCTCAGCTTATCCAGGATAGCGTTGATATAGGGCAGAGGATAAGCATCTTTCCTGGTAACGGAATTCACCATTTTATAGTCCACGCAGAAACGATACGACCCATCTTTCTTTCTCACCATAACGATTGGTGAACTCCACGGGGTATCAGATGGTTCGATGATTCCTTCTTCCAGCATTCTATCTACCTCTAAATTAATTACTGCCTGGATTTTGGGGTTTTGTGGGCGGTAGCGTTGTTTAATCGGCTCTTTGTTTATTAAATGTATTCGATGTTCAATTAAAGATGTCGGTCCTTCAATTGAATCAAACAGCGGCAATTGATGATCCAAAAATTCATTCAACTTCATTGCTTCGGCGGGCGTCAAAGTCAGTGGTTCGGGGTCTACTGCTTTGGTACATTTTCCGATGCAAAATAGAACTTCATTTTTCATGGTTACCTGGTTGTTTCGTAAATTTATAACAAATTCATGTGTCTTTAGGATGTCCATTCCTAAAACAATATCACAAGCCAGGTTTGGCAAATAATTAATTACCCCAGTGAAATTCTGCTTTGTTGTATTCATCCGAATACGGTACGCCTCTGTTATGGAAGCGAGCTGGCCATTGGCTACCTTAACTCTTTCAACAGAAGGCGTTATCTTCGGAATTTTGCTAAAACGGCAAAGTTCCACTAATACATCTCCCATATATGAATTAGTGGCTCCGGTGTCAATGAGGGCGTAAAATACTTTGTCTTGAACGGTGACTTGTATTTTCGGTCTGTCAATTTTTAAATTTAAAATTAATATTATTATTAATATAAATTTTAAAAATTATTATTTAATATATAAAAAAATGACAAATTAAAAATAATTTAAAATACACAGGGACAGTCACGGGACATTATGTCCTGCTTGCCACATCTTGAACAGAATAGTTTTCTCGGGGCTTGACATTGACTCCTTAAATGTCCGGTACCCCCACAACGCCAACAAACTAGTTCTGCTTTACTATTCGTATTTCTTTCTCGTGACGGTCCCGGCTGAACAAGGGGTGCAGGTGTGGAAATGGGTGGTCGTACGGCTGACATGTTTGGGTATCTGGATGCCTCCAGAGATGCAGGGATCGGTCGTCTGTATTGGGAGTCTTGTCTATTTCCAGTGGCGGGTCGAGAGACACTGATTTCTTTATTTAACAGTTCAAATTCGCGAATTAGCCTGGCCAGGGATGTAGCATCGGTGAAGTCGCTTCTGCGAATATATTGACGGTATTCGGGTAGTAAGTTCCGGTATAGCCAGTTCAACTGAGTATCTTTACTCATATTGCCATGTCTTCGGAGGAGTGTCTGGAGTTCCGTGACATAGGAAGAAGAGGATTCATTTCTTCTCTGTGTTCGGCGGCTTATTTCGGCTTCCAGGTCTACTTCGTAATTAACTGGAAAATAGAATTGTCGGAATTCGGAAACAAACTCATTCCAGTTCCTCCAGCTAGGCTTGTTATTTCTGAACCACAGGGCAGCTTCACCTTGAAGTAAGTCGGGCATATGGAGTAACATCAGATCTCCGGAAATGTTTTCAGAGTCACAAATTTCTGTCAATCTTTCCAGGAAATTTGCCGGATCTTTATATCCGTCAAAGCTCAAATTCCATTCTCGGGTTCTCATATGTGGTCTTGGTGGTGTCGGTGGGTTTTGGTACACCAGTGGATTATGAGGCGGCGGCGGATAATACATCGCATTAGGGTAAGGTCTGGACACACATGACCGCACCGTATCCGCACCGAGCCCGCACCGAGTCCGTGCAGTAACACGGCAGTGTGTCGCTCAATAAGGTAAAAGCCACACATTTCCAACACACGGCCGCATGACGGTCGTACTACGAGTGCGGTCGGTAGTTTGTCACTTCGTCAGTTGGCTTCCTGCCTGTACGTGTGCGTGAGAGAAAGTAAAATGTTCGCCAGCTTCAGTAACAGAGAATTGGCAGCAATAGCTATTGCTTTGGACGATGAGGAGGAAAATGAAGAAAATAGGGCAAAACGACGGAAAATTTGGGTACACAACGCTTGGAAAGCAAGACACGTTGAAGGCGAATTCCGCACGTTGCTTCCCCACTTAATGGACGATGATACCAAATTTTACGAATATTTTAGAATGACACAATTTACCTTCCATCAGCTACTGAGTAAGCTGGAGGAGAGATTAAAGAAAAAAGATACATTTTGGAGAGTGGCAATAACACCGAAAGAAAGGTTGATGGTATGTTTAAGGTAAGTTATTTATTTATATAGGATTAGGTTAAGCACGGATATTAGCAGCGTGATAAATAATGAACATGTATTTATTTTGCATTTTGATAAAACAAAAAAAAATATTATGTAGGTAAACTGAAACATTACAACATACATTTCATTTTCATGAAACAAATAGAAATTAAAATGTGAACTCTAAACATATAGGCAACCCCGAACATACAAAATGCAAAATGCCTTTCACACAATATCATCATTCTAGATTCTGGGTCTGATCTGTATGGTGTCCAGAAAGTTGTGATGCATTATCTAAATTCCAGTATACCGGAGATGCATATGGTGTTGGAACAGAGTGCACAGACCCTGATGATGCTGGTGAGGGTGCAAATGCTGGTGATGATGCTGGTAAGGGTGCAAATTGGTTGCAAGGAAATGAACGAATTGTTTCTTGAGAGGCCAGCAGCTGTTTCATTTCACATTCCTGTACTATGGAAAAAATGCGGCCTTTAGCTTCGTTTAGAAGAATGGGACTAAGGAACTTCAGGGGAGCTACTATACCAGCCAGAAAAGCATCAACAGGATGTTTTTCTGCTTCGACACTTGCTACTTCTGATTGTTTTTGAGTTTTCTTCTCAGATAAAATGTACGTCATTAGTTGAGAGGAAGCTGTTTCTGGAGGTTTCGATTGACGCTGCTGCAGTTTTCGTTTTAATACAGGTTTGATAAATTTTGGATTCTTGGCTGACGAGTTTACAGAGAGCACCTCTTCCTGGGTTTTCTGACCAAGTATTTCAGGTTCCTCTTGTATATATTCTTGCACAGATTCAGGTTCGTCACCATCTATAACTTCTTCCTCCTCCAAGGTATCATCAGCAGAAACTTCATTATTAGCTACCTCCTCACTATCAGTAACGTTAGAAATTGTCTCTCGCTCTGCGACATGCGGTAACAAAAACTGCAAGACGTCTTCATATTTATATTTTCGGAGAGTTACAGCAGCTTGTCCAGAGACAGTCCTTCTTCTTTGAAGGGTCCTTCGAAACTGATCTCGAACGGAGGCCCACTTTTTCTTACATTCTTCGCCACCGCCTGTAACAAACATTATAAGTAGATTAATTATGAGTAAAATGAATCATTTTCGTATATTCATAATACTAAATATTTGAGACTATTTTTTGTTTCAGGTTTCTTTGCACTGGGGACTCTTTCAAAACAATTTCCTTTAGCTACAGATTAGGAAGATCGACTGTGGCAGCAATAATCCATGACACCTGTAGAACAATAGTGGATGTCCTTTTAAATGAATGTATGTCAATGCCGACAGAAGAGGAATGGAACATTATTGCTGATGAATTTTGGAAAAGATGGCAGTTTCCAAATTGTATCGGGGCCTTGGATGGAAAACACGTTACAATAGAGGCACCAAAAAACTCGGGGAGTCTCTACTGGAACTATAAAAAAACATATTCGATTGTCTTGTTGGCTTTGGTTGATCCATTCTATAACTTCATTGCCGTGGACGTAGGAGCATATGGAAAAAATTCTGATGGCGGTATTCTGATGCACTCAAATTTAGGAAAGTCATTGGAAAACCGTACACTCAAGATTCCAGAGATCAGAAGTTTACCTGGAACTAATACTCAACTACCAATGGTCATTGTAGCTGATGAAGCCTTTCCTTTAAAAACATATATGATGAGACCTTATCCTGGAAGGAACTTGACAGATGAGAAGAGGATATACAATTATCGTTTAAGTCGAGCAAGAAGAATATCCGAAAATTCATTTGGCATTTTAGAGCAAAAATTTCGAATATACAGTAGAAGGCTTCAAGGAAAACCTGAAAACCTAACAATGTATATTCTGTGCACCTGTGTTTTGTACAATTTTATTCGAAAAAATGAAAGCTACGAGCTACCCGAACAGGGAATCCGTCAAAATGAACAAAATGAAACATCCGACAGATCGTCAATTCTAAGGGATCTTCCTCGCCTTCGTGGAAGAGCAGCAAATGCCGCATTTACTGTCCGAGAACAGCTGACAACTTTTTTAAATTCTCCAGAAGGCAGTGTAGACTGGCAAGAGGAAATGGCCTTGGCAGTTTGAAAAATTAGTATTACATAATATTTATCAGATAAAATACGATAAAAATTGTACCCGGTTTTTATTTGTGAGGAAATGTAAACAAAATATTTTATATGGAGTCTTATTTTGGTGGAGATATATATCCTTTTGAAAATAAAACCTCACTTTCAGATTCACCCTGTATAGTAGGTATAATCAATTTCAACCTATTTTAACAGGATTCTTAATTGAAAATAAAACATATGTATTTTGACTTACCCTTTATTTCTAAATGCGTAGCAATTAAAGTCCATACCCTTTCCTTATATTCAGCATTCCTATATTTTTCATTTCTTTGGTCGTACAATACAGGATACTTTTTGACTTCTTCTATCAGTTTCTCCATTTCTGCAACGCACCGTGCCCGTCAAAAATTAAACAAAACTAATCTCGCACGGTACGGACGCGGTGCGGTGGTGTCACTCGGGCTCGGCGCGGGCACGGTGCGTAGATGTGAAGACTACGACATAAGAAAACACGGTACAACTATTCACCGAGACACGGCCGTGTCTCGGTGCGGGCTCGGTGCGGACTCGGTGCGGTCATGTGTGCCCAGACCTTTAGGGTAGGTCGGATAATATTGGGGTTGAATTGGCTGGTAATACGAAGGAATATGTTTTGGTGATGTTGACGTGGTTGTGACGGCAGTTGTTGTAGTTCCACTAGAACCTGCACTTTGAGTTGCGGTTGAAGCTGCGGAAGTCGTCCAGGTTATTGTTGTAGTGGTAATTAATGACGCAGTTGGGACCGGTGTAGTTGTGGAGGGAGGAGGAAAAACAAACGCGCCATTTCCTGATGGCTGGGGTGTTGCCTTGCCATCTCTAATGAATCTGGCAAGTCGGCGTCGCAGCTGCTCAACGTTCCCAGAATCGTCCAGGTTGAATTTCTGTAGTTGCAATAACAGATCGTTTTTTCGTAGCAGATAGATCCAGCTAGTCCGAAAATCACTAGAACTATGGTCTGGTGGCGGAGATGCTGTTGGTGGATGTACTTGTATCAATGGCCGTTGTTCTACGTCTTCCTCAGGATTCTCGGGATCGGTATTGAGGTGCATTGCTTCGGTAGCTTCTTTTTCATCATTTTCGGAACCGGAACCGGAATCGGATGTCATCGTCATGTAGCTAAAAAACAGTTGTTGTAAGACAAACATTTTAAAAGGGATCTCTTTCGCTCAGGCCGGGTTGGCGTTTTCAGTTTGTACTTGCGCACTAGGGTCCCTGCTCGGGCGCCATTTTTGTAACGTTTCCCTATTTCCCTGTCTGTCCCGGTATTTCGGGTTTCTCGGGCGCCACCCCTCTGTGATTTACAGCGTCAAAGGGGACCGCTGATATGCCTGTCGGGTAGCCTTTAAACAGTGAAGAAGACGGTGATCCAAGGTTCAGTGCAAATAATACAACTTGTTTAACAAAATTAGTTCAATATATTCTTACCCACTATGAAACACAAGCAAAATACATTGTGACGGGAAGGATAATAGTCACCCTATTTACGCCGGTTTTGAAAACAATATTTTTCCACGCTAACGGCATTTAGCACAGTAACACTATTTATCACGCTAACGCAACTTGTCACGGTAACGTTATTTATTACGGCACGCTATTTACTTCGGTGTCGGTATTTATTATGTTCACGGTATGGGCGGATTTAGCTCCAGCTCCAGAATCCGAATGTCGAGAAATTTACAATAAACAGTCTAATGAGTAAACTCAGTTCGGTAATTTTCGGTAAAGAGGGATTGCAGCAGGATATTTTCCGGCGTGAATTCAAATGGACTGGTCAGAATCGTTACAGGACGGAATTATCGGGATTACTCCACAATTAAGGAATCGGGATTTCTCCACAATAAAGGAATCGGGATTTCTCCACAATAAGGAAGTCGGTACGGTAGTCGGTTAAAAATCGGGATTACTCCACAATTAGGGAATCGGGATTTCTCCACAATAAGGAAGTCGGTTACGGTAGTCGGTTAAAAATCGGGATTACTCCACAATTAGGGAATCGGGATTTCTCCACAATAAGGAAGTCGGTTCAAAATCGGGATTACTCCACAATTTGGGAATCGGGATTTCTCCACAATAAGGAAGTCGGTTACGGTAGTCGGTTAAAAATCGGGAGTACTCCACAATTAGGGAATCGGGATTTCTCCACAATGAGGAAATTGGATGCGGTAGCGGATAACGGAAAACTGATATTACTGAGTTTTACTTACCAAAATACTTCGATCACTACACACTGGAGCTCGTAACTAGGCTGCTGGCGGTGGCTGCTGTTGCCCGGACTCGAATGAATTTACCTGGTACCGCGTCGTACCCAGCTAGGTTCGAAAGCCTTGGTTCGGCTTTATGGTCTGGCGGGGGATCGGTCGCGATCGGAGACAAGCGCCGTACTCTCGGTACCATGTAATTTTTGCGCGTTTATTTCGCCTGGGAAAATTCGTAGCAATTTCCCGATGTTTTCGCGATAGTTGCGGAGAATTTTCACTGTGTAAATAGGATGACGTGATTTTTATATTTCTAAAATAAAAAAGAACGGAGTGATTGGTTGAAAAATAAGAAAGTTACCCTGACGGATTTAGAAAAATTATGCAACTTCATTACAAACCACCACATAAAATTGAAATTTTTTCTAAATTCACTGCGTTCTCAGTGTTCGGAGCAGACACCTCGCTATGAACCAGCAATCGTTTGTAGGCCGCTTCAAACTGCCTTGCCGAAGGATTGTTGTTAAATCCACCTAAAAATTTGAAAATGTAGTTGTTGTAAATAGGAGTAAGATGTAACTTAGTCATCGGTAACTTACCCTTGCTTCTTATAGCTCCAAAAAACAGTTCTAAGCGGTCTTGTGATAATTTGTAGGAAAGTATGTACTTCAATAGTTTTTTGTCTTCAACATATAGATGGTACAAGTCCTTCAAACTTTTCATGCATAGGGTAAGTCCGGGAGAGTTCGACCACATTTTGGAAAAAAAATTGTAACTTTTTTGGTTTCTGAGATATATTATTTAAAATCTGTTGAAGCATTGCCTAAAGGATAAGGATAGTATAAAAAATATAAGTCATGATATAATACGAACATAAATTTTTATTCTGAATTAAAAGTTCAAACATTGCAACTGGTCGATCTCACCCGCATGTCCGGGTTAGTCCGACCATCAACTGAGGGTGAGACCGACTTCGGAGAATATCAAAACATAAAATAAAAATCCATATTAAAACAGCATATTAGTGAAAGTATAATAAATGCGTATTAATAAATTTAATTTTCACGGCGTTTCTTTCTCATTTTTCCGCATAAATCGCAAAAATTCTCGAATTTGGAGCACCCATTGTGAAGCCAACGACTGCAGTCCACACATTTGATCCAATCGTCTTTCTTAGTGGTTTTGAAATAATTTTCCCCACACCCTACGCATTCATTTTCGTCCCATTCTTCTGCAGATGTATCACTTTCCTGCAATACTGGGCTTTCGCTGTCTGAATCTGAAGATTCTAATTGTTTTTTCTGTTTAACCACAGCTTTCTTCTGAATTGGACATCCGGTCTTTTTCTTTGTGTTTTTTTTTTCTTTCTGAATCTCGATGCGTTGTGAACTGTTTAAAATGGTTGCAAGCTGCCTACCTCGTGATTTAACTGCTACTTTTGCACTGGTTTTTCGAATCGGCGAGATCACATTATCCAACAATTTTCCCGGTGTGGGGTCGAGTGTGGGTTCGATCTCCACTGTTGCAGGATCAGGGTCGCGCGAACAACCAGGCTGATCGGGAAAAATGCGAGTGTTAGTTGCCTGAACGGTAGGGACCCGGGGTGGAGTCGGAGGAGGGGAGATATTTTCAGCCGTATTATTTGAACCAGGCGTGGCTTCTCCATCTTGTTCCATTTGAATATTAATATACGCATAATCTGGAATGACTTCTGGATTAAAGGGTGCAATGCCTGTAGCTCTAAATCCAGACATCCCATTTTCCACAGTTGCCGATTTACCCCATGCTTGTCCCAAAAGATTTCCAAAAATCAACCTTGATATTTTCCTATTTGGATTCGCTTTTAGGAAATTGTTGCAAGCCGAGTAGTAATGGTTTTTCAGTGATTTAAAAAAGGACCTATCCAATGGTTGAAGGTAATGAGTCGTGTGACTTGGTAAACAAAGTAGAATTATGTCATTAGCTTCGGAAAACTCCAGCACTTCCACAGAATTTGTGTGAGAAGTATGCCCATCGACGATTAGCAATACTTTTCCAGCTGGTTTTCGTGGCAAAAAATGAAACTCCAACCATTCCTTGAAAATGGTAGCATTGACATACGCTGATTTCTGTGACATAGCAATTTGGGAGCCAGGTGGCATTCCGTCTAAAAATTCTTCCTTTCTATTTTTTCCTTTAAATATTGAGTAAGGTGGGAGAAACATTCCCTCAGCATTGCAGCACGCAATTACCGAAATTGTTTCGCCCTTCTCGCCGGATGTTAACGAAGAAACATTTTTTGAGCCTTTTGCGGCTAACACTTGGGTTGGTCTATTGTTTAATTGCAAACCGCTCTCGTCCATGTTAAATACATTTGCAGATTTGTGATGAAGTTGGTTATTAGTGAGAACATTTTCTAGAAGGGTAAAATAGTGTTTCACAGTCTCGCGGTTCATTCCAGTCGCTCGATTAATAGAGATTCCTTTGGCTTTTCTAATCGATATTTCAGGATGTCGTCGCAAAAATGAGTTAAGCCAATCGTAGCCGGCTTTGCCTTTTTCTTTATTAAACGTATGCTTCAATTTCAGTTCTTCGGTAAGTTGGAATGCCCATATTCTGACAGACTCGCGATCTGGTGCAAATCCAAATGTTTGCAGTTTTTTTATGTGTCGCACCAATTTAAGTTCTGCATTTTCTCCCAACTCTGATGACGGACATAGTCTGTTTTGTTTTATTGCATTCCCCTTCCTAATCCTATCTTTAAGGGTTGTTTTAGGGATTCCAAATTGCCAAGCGGCTTTGTTTACTCCCATTGTACCATTTTCTACAGCTTCAATTGCACTCCTTAATGAATCGGCACTCCATCTAGCTCTTTCGTCATTTTTCCTTTTGTAAGTGGTGGGCATTTTTGTTAATCTGTAACAATATATTTGTTTGAGTTTTGGCTTCATTATACTTCAAACCGCATAATATTTCATTATTATTATTTCCATTTCCGTGGTCGGTCTCTCCCGGTTTGAAGTGGTCGTACTCTACCAAAGTTACGGGAGAGATCGACCACCTTGGTAACCGAAGTTAAAACGAGAAATGCCTACATATTTGAGGTTATGTGATAGTTCCATGCATATTTTATCATCCAGTATTGAAACAGTTCAAATAAACTTACCAGTCTTCAAAATATCACCACCACAGTAAATCGGTCAGAAAACTTTCAAGTTAGCACAAATTTTCAATCCTCATTTATAAATTTACACTGCTCTCTCGGGCCATGTCAACGTGTTGGTGGCAACAAGATCAACTGAATTTATCATATTTGTGACACACAGAGCCCTCTATTGCTCTGTTCTCCAGTAATCGACACTGGTCGGTCTCTCCCGATGGTCGATCTCTCCCGATGGTCGATCTCTCCCGGACTTACCCTACAGAAGTTCTAAGAATCTCGTTTTTCTTCTAGATTTCAACACTGAGACCCCATCAATTTTTAATTTAATGATATAGGTGGTTAATTCGTCTATACATTTTTTCATTTCTCCAAATGTCTTGGGTGAAAGCGGCTTTTTAAAAAATATTTGCCAAAATAGTTTCTGGAATTCAAAATGTCGAAGATATTGTTGATTTTTAAAATAAATACTGCGGTTGGAATGCATCCTTGGAATTTATCAATTTTAAATTCTTCGCATAAAAATATAAGTGCATCTGACACGCTTTTACTCAAAACTTGAGCTGCCAGGCGCACTTCCATTTTTTCCCTTTGCCATTCCAAGTGCCTAAGCTTTAGCTTAGTGGCAACATTCAAGCCTATAAAACTTTCTCCTTCATTCTGCAAATTATGTACACCAAGGCAATTTCTAACCAGTTTTAGCATGTGGCATGCGTCCCGGAACACGAAAATCTGTTCACCAGTTACTGGGTGTAGAAAGCTAGTTTTCGAATTTTCAGGAT